TCTCTCTCTCTCTCTCTCTCTCTCTCTTTTCATGAACTTTTTATGAAAAATTATTTCTTCTTGGATTGATAGAGAATATTTTTGAAGTTAACATACAAGGAATATATAATTGATAAGAAAGAGAAGAAATATTAATTTACAACTAGTGTGTTTTATGATAAATACCATACGTTTGCATCAGTGTCGACGCGTCTCGGGTATGTGCGATACGCGCGTATCATGGTCACCGAGAAATTACAAACCGCGAGTGAAGTCAGTCTGAATTAGAACCGCCATAGACTATGGCGCGCTCATCCGCCAGAATAAACTTCAAGTTTGCATAATACACGGTTCTCGTGCTTCATACGTGCATCGTTCTTATCGCGCGCCGTTCTCAATCCGTCCAATTTAACGTGACGGTAAATTAAAACAGATGGTTTCTCCCAACATTCTAATTAACATTTGTATCATATTGCAACTATGTATCGTAATCGCCAAGTTTCTCAATCCATATATTATTTGAAAACCCGATCATATCTATTAAGAAGAAATTATTTCGTTTCTAGTTTGTCGGTACGTATTATTTTTGCTCGACAAAAGTTAACAGAGGAAAAATTTCAGAAAATTAATTTGTTTTTATATATGATCATGATTATACACAATACAAATTAATCTACTTCTGAAATTTTTTCTCCGGCGATTTCTATGAAGATTGATTCCATCAAATTATTTAATTGTTTGTGAATATAGAGGTGTATGAAATAAATGACTTTTTTTTATTTATCTCCCATTATTTGTTTAGAGCCACGCATATAAAAGTATTTATATTTATATTTTTTAACGCAAGCTAATGTTTTATTCATTAACTAGCGATATAATTAAATGCCTTGTACTAGTTATTGTGTAACGGTTTATTTTTAGTAAAGATCTGTATATAAAAAAGCGCGTATAATTGATAGAAAATATCAACTATATAATAAAAAAAAATGAATAATAATGATAACTAAGCAAGTTATCATTTTAAATGTAATGATGAAACATATCGACAAAAAGCACATAATGTGATACGCAAATTGATTTATGCTTTGAAAACTACTCGCCTCAAGGCTGTTCGCACGCCTGACTTCATTTCATTCGCGTTTAGCAAACATCAAGAGAAATACAAGTACAACGTTGCGAATTACATATAAACGAAGAGTATCGAGAGTGTAAGCATTTTGCAGTTAATTAAGTGTCACAATACATTCTCAATATTTACGTTTACTGCTTTAAATATTTTCAACTTATTACGTCTTTTTTATCTTGTGTATCTTTTGTGATTTCTTCCACTTCCGGTCTTGCTGCCTTAAGCGATGATCAATTTACAATCTCCTATAAACTCTATTGATTTTTTTCGATAAACCATACGGGATCAAATGATATGACCGTGATAAAATCGATGGTAAAAGATTGATTTAGGATCGCCACGAGAAATCTACAATCGGACGTTACGTATACACATGGCCGTCTTCATTGTAGACATTCTCATGCCTTTTAATGGCCTCGCCAAGGTTAACAGAATTCGTTAAAAAACATATCTCTCTCTCTCTC